ACTACGAGGGAGGTCTACTAGTCCAAATCCGCACCCGGTCAAAAATCCACTTTTCACATATCCCTGGCAATATCGAGGCTGGCCACAATAATATCGACACCGTCCAATTAAATTCGTCCCGGAACTCAGAGAAATTCGACACCAAAGTTTGGGCTCTAAATAACGGTCAAATTCGATCGAGTGCGATTCTAGCAAAATCTCTAATTTAAAAATAATAACCCAAGAGTGATCAGTTCCGGGCGAGATTTTATTATAAGTGCACTGACGAAATACCCGTTTTATAAATACCAAAAATGGCCCGAAATTCGGAATGTCACACGCAACAACATAGTAAATTTTATTGTGCCGAAATAACTATTATTCCGGTCATTACCGACTGGTGACGTGCATCCGATGAGGCAGAACTGTGTTAGAACTTGCTGACTGGGAAAGCTAGCCTCCATTGCATCGGGTGCTTAATGGGCTGACATGTGGACTGTCTCTTGGTTGACACGTGTTGACGATCCAAGCAAAGAGGCCGTCATTGCCACACACGCAAACGAAGCCCACTTGCACACTCAACACGTGTCTCGTGCAAATTGATTCTTTTATTTCAATTATTTGAGCGTTTGATAAGCATTTATGGATAACTTATAGGTGGTAAAATTTTTTTTGGATAGATCATAGAATTAGATATATCCTTTCTTTTTCTATGATCATAAAAATTGACTGAATTATAAATGCGTCATGCATACATGGAAATCTTTCGGAAAATTCTAAATAAGGACCTAAAGTGCCTTCATTTTCTCAAATAAGGACCTGAAATGCCCTCATTTTCTCAAATAAGAGCCTAAAGTGACTATAACAGTTTCAAATAAGGCCTCACCACGCCGGCTCGCCGGTCGGCCATATTTTTCGGCCGGTCAAGGGCATTTTCGTCTAAAAATAATTTTAACATTAATTTTAATTAATTTAGATTAAAAAAAAAACAAGGGGGAGGGTTGGTAGCGATGGCTTGGTGGCCCTCGCCAGAATCGAGAGAGGGCGGCGCTGGCCCTCGGCCCGGTCTCGGCGTGGGTCGCCGGCCCTCGCCCAAGTTTGGGAGAAGGCCGCCGGACCTGGGCGAGGGTCGGGTGACCCTCTCCTGGCTTTGGCGAAGGCTACCAAGTTCTCACCTCTGGCCAGCAACCCCGCTGGCCATGACCACTTCCCCACCAATGATGGGGCGGCGGCAGCAGCCCTCCCCTTGGTTTTTTCTATTCTTTTTTTTTAGTTTGTTTTTTATGAAAAAATACAAAAGGAAAGAAAAAAAGTAAAAAATCAAAAAAATTAAAAGACGAAAATGCCCTTGACTCTAGTGAGATTAGGCCCTTTATTAAGACTGATATGGCAACTTCATATTCTTATTTGAGACAATGTTCACTTCAAGTCCTTATTTAAGAAAATGAGGGCACTTCGGGTCCTTATTTGACACAATGTCCACTTTATGCCATTATTTAAGAAAATGAGAGCATTTCGGGTCATTATTTGGAATTTTCCCGAAATCTTTCAAAAATCTATATGATCCATCTATGTGACTGAGTGTGATGTTTCTCAAGAATAAGGCATGCTCTATGATGTGGTTCAAGATTGTTATCATGTGGTGAGCAATCTTTTTGATAAAATGTCAAACAAAAACTAAAGCAGGAGCAAAGATGATCACAACTTTTCCCAATTACATAATAAACAGCAAATATGATTTGCTGGAGTGTTTGGAATATTTGAACGAGTAATTTTTTATTTTTTTATTTTAAGTAATACGCCCCTGCTCATTACACAAAAGGAAAAGAAACCCCGTCGTTTTAATTTATCCATACATCACTTGTTCGGCCTGTAAATGTGAAACATGTACAACAAGAGCGGGCGATTACTATATGCATATTTTTTGATGTTCTGTGATATATTGTTAGTTATTTCTTGTTGGAAAAAGAAGAATGACTTGAAAATGCCATAGAAGAACCAAACTTGGAGCATAATTATCGGGAACTTCTAGAAGTACATCAAAGTGTGTGATAAACCAGTCCTTGTTATTGCTTAGTGTAGCATGATGAAGATTGCCTGGATACTTGTTTTTGTACTTGTGCTGAGATTTGGTTATTAATGGACTAAAATGGGGTATAATTGCTAAAGTTCTAAACCTCCAAAAGCACTAGAAAGCAGGCAATAATTAAAGTTCTTACACATATGCATGAACAAGTGGTTTCGCACTTCATGCTAATCTTTCAAACAAAAAAAAAAATAATGCACCAAATTTATTACTGTCCTACACAAATTTATTACTTGGAATGGAAGCTTCTTTCTTTTGTTGCTGAGCACTTATGTACACACCGACGTTTCAAAACTCCTCTATCTTCTCGCACCGCTGCAAAGACAAATATGAAAGTTTCAGTGACATTCCAATAAAGCATGGGAGTTCACTGATTCCTCGTTCGTACAGATATGCTAACCTTGTAAATAATGCACCAAAGCATTAGAATCGTAAACCCACTTCATTACAAAATGATATTTCCAGATCCTCCAAACAATCGAAACAAAATGCAGTTGAATATAGTTCTATTACCAAGAAGCATATCCGTTCATCTTTTCTCCGACAACGAACCAAAAGAAGGCTTTAGGAGTCGACGTCTCACAATTCCTTTGCTCTCAAAACCGCCGCAACAACCTTCTGAATTAATTTTCCTTCGTGGCTGCAACAATGCACAGGTGAAGCACGGTTCATATTAGTCGGACGGACAGAAAGTAGGAGGATTTCAAAGCGACAATCTAATTGTTGATTAGATGGCTCAAACAAAAGAAAAGAAAGAATCAAAAAATAGATGATAAAGATGTGCGGCTGTACCGCCACCCAATTCTATTTGAACATGGATTTCCTCCGAATATGATAAACTATAGGGATCTACTTCTATGGACATAATATGTAAATGAAAACTTAATAATTTTGGTGACTTTAGTGGTTAAGTATCAGCAATCATTAATATTCAGCTACACCAAATTTTCATCGAATATTGCTCGTTTGAATAAATTAAGATGCTCTATAATTTGAGAACCAATGCGAAGTAGCCATTCTTGATGGAATGGATAAAGTTGGATCCACCTACCGACCTTGAGGAGATAATTTATCGTTGACAGCATTTAAAAATACAATGGATGTATCTGAAATGACATGTCTAACGCCAGAGAAAATAATTGATTGTATTAGATGTGGGTTCCAAGCAAAATCTTGAGAAACCAGGGCGTTCTCTTACAGGCTGCTCTTGGGATATTCCAAGGAAAATAATCGATAGTATTAAATTAACATATGATGAAAAGAGGTGCTCCTCTTTGTTTGAGCATTTTCTTCATCTTCACATTTAAACTAGGGACAGATTTTTAAAAAAAAGTATGAACTCACATTCCTAGGACAAAAATATCTCCACTTTCAAACGACCCACAAAGTGCACGAACTATTGCTTAATAGACAAAATAAGTCCACCATCAAATTTTTTGTCAATGCAAGCTAATTTGGCATTTGAAGTGGATAATGGCGTGAATGGCTACAATAGACATGTTAGTAAGACAAACATCAGCGAGGCATAGCAACCTCGTTTCTCGCTAATCAATAATGACATCGGGTTTTGGACTTCTATATTAATGACTCGTTTGTTTCAACAAGAAAAGAGAGAAAAAATGCGCAGCTCAAAATTGAAAGAGTTAGGCTTCTCGAATCAAGTTCGTTTTGCCCCCAAACCGAAAATTAGTGTTCCAAATCAACTATTGGGAGTGAATTCATTAACTTGAATGGGCGAAGAACTTAACCAGTGAGTTTTTTCATCCATCAAGTATGAAATTTATATATATATTTTGGATCTTTCCATGGGGATATTTTGGTTCCGTACGTACATGTTCATGCACTTTCTGGGTATTCAGCCTTTGAGTTAGTAGAACACTCGTGCTAAATACTTAAAATCCTCTTGTTTCAACTTAAAGATCATAAAAGCATTCTAAAGAATAAGAATTTGCTTCAGGATACGACTATTTGGATGCAATAGGCTGCACTGACGTGACTTTGAAATTCTATATGGTGGTTTAAGTCAATTGAATGACCTGTATTGTCATAATTAATCGAAATAGAAGCAATTACCTATTAGTTTCCGGGCATGACAATGTGCGTCAAAGAACGTAGAAAACCAACTTCTTCGGGCAACTCCCCAAGAGAACTACACCCCTCGAGATTCAAAGTTCTTAGGAGTGTTAGCTTACTAATGGAGCAGTCAATTGTGGTCAAGTGGACACACTGAGCAAGAATTAACTTCTCCAAAGTCAAGAAGTTAGAGAAGACAGGTGTTCTTGTTAATTGCCTGCAACCCGTCAAATCTAGAACCTTCAATCTATCTATCTACAGAAAAAAAAATGTTGAAGTTAAAAAATAAATTAGAAACATCAACATATATGGTTGTATTAGTAATATGCACATTATCCTTACGTCATTATTTAAGATAATCTAGGATAATTTGAATATCCCAAATCTTTTTGGGGATGTTGCAAATAACCCTCATACTTCAAAATTTTTGAAAATAATCCCCGACTATTTTTTACTTCACTTCACATCCTTAATTTCCAAACCTGCAGTTTGCGTCTTAGACCAAAACTCCATAACCTATAGACTGAAGTATCCGTGCTACGCAAAATGCCACTTACTTACAATGGAATACACCATTTCCAAAGCCTAAGCAACTTTTAGAACTAAGAAACCAAGGTTATAAACCACGTGACAGCATTTTTTATATGGGACATAATTGTGTTCTACTTTGATACGTAGAAGGATATTGAATGTTACTCATGCAAAATATATTTAACTTAGAAGAGATGCGGAGTGCATACAACCATTATGTCAATCGTATGAGGTATCGATAGAAAAAATTAAAATACATATTTTGCTTCTATCATTGCCTCATTCATCACGAATGAGTTATGACAGGATGAAGCGTATAGAGTAAGGCATATCATACCTTCATTTGGCTCCGCCCACCCCAGCCATCTGCAATCTTGCTATTTGAAAGGTCAAGCACGACCAATTTACTAAAGTGAAAGTTACTCGCCTGGAAAGTCATTTGCCTCACTTGCCAAGAAAGCCATCTTAGCTCTGAAAGATGATTATCGAAGTTGCTGAAAAAATTAATGCCTTTCACTCGAATGAACCTTAGATTTGGTAGAGCAGCTAATTGTTCAGGTTTAAAGGTGCAGCTGCAGCTGGATGTCAGGCTTAATGCTTGTACGTCTTCATTTCTCTGCCAACAGAGACTCGAGATTAATTGAGTGCACAACACTTAACACTATTATAGAGCTATATAGAAAGGAAGCAGAAGAGCTTAACACACCATTAACGAAAATTTTCAGCTTCCATTTGAAATATCATGTAAATCATTATTCCATTTTCCATTTTCTTCTTTTCAAGAAATATAATTAGCATGCCAAATTATAATCTTCATAGTTTTTTGTTTTCTCTGCAATTGTGTTTGAAAGTACTTCAATGATTCTTCAAACAGAGAGTTTCCTGCTGACGTTGCTAGGATAGCCCATGAAACGGCGCTCTATTGCTTCAGAATTTCCAGGAATCTATCTTCTATTCTACAGAATCTAGAAATTGTAGCTAACTGGTAGGCAATCTATCTGTCTCTCTCCACCAATTTACAAGACCTCTGACCCAAATGTTTGAGAGCGAGCTACCTCACCCAAAAGTTAAACAAAGGTAACTATAAAATAAGAGAAAAATTCAAAAAGTTTCTCCATCCAAAAAAAAAATTATGTGACATACTCTTCCATTTTTCCTCTTTTTTCTGCAGTAGTTCCAGGGCTTCATCTTGAATCCAAACCCTACAAATTCCGAGAGGATATTCTTTCCAGATGATGTACGTTCCCAGATCTCGCAATAGATAATGCATCCAAAACTTATTATCTCTAATTTTTATCAAGGACCGTTGAAGGAGGACATGAATTGAATTGTGAGGATGGTAATTACAGCCATCCCACATGATAATTGGATATGTTTGGTCCTCGTTGTTGAAAAAGCAAGCAATATCCAAAAATACTTCTTTTTGTTTATTATCCAAGCCCTCATAACATATCATTAACACATGTCACGCCCCGCACCCTACGAGGGCGCGGTCATCCCTCGATGGTCGATCATTGAACGCGACGTCCCAGGACGCGTCGCCAACCCAAACGAAACACCCAATCATTAAGGCAAGCGGAAGCGAAACTAATTAACCCAGACAATAAACAATGACAAAGGGATAGTACGAAACAATAATTGCATACCATCATAAAGTAGTCACTATACAAAACGATAACTCGGGCTACCAATTTAGAACCACAGTTTTCAAAAGGGGGCGATGGTTGACAAGCTTATCTCCTCTACAAAAGGTACTCAAAAGACAGGGTAAATGATCTATTCTTCAATCCCTGTGGTGCTCTGGCGGCGTCTCCGAATCGATTACGGTCGCGGATCTGAAATGGTTATATAATAACCGTGAGAACGAGTCTCAATAAGCAACCCCCTAAACCCCACGTAGGCCAATGCGTACCCAGACAAGTCAGACATGCAATCTACCCCATAACATATAAAATTCACATCATTGCACTTACCTCGTCATCAAGCCTATGCCAACTCTACACGTTAGTCGTCACGTGATAAGGCAATAATAGTAATTAAATAACACATCACAAATCGCTCAAACACCAACCATGCTTTCACTCAATCACTCCAACTAATTCAACCAATCAGTTCAATCACACTCAATTCGCATGCGTGGCCGAGCAACTTTCTCACGACCTCCCAGGTCCTTTCACATGGCCCGCATCAACACGCCTCAGGCCAGCCCTCAGATCAAGCCGGGCTCAGTCCCGCGTAACCACGCCTCAGGACATTTCTCTCGACCCGCGTAACCACACCTCAGGTTGGCAGCCCTCAGATCAAGCCGGGCTCAGTCCCGCGTAACCACGCCTCAGGACATTTCTCTCGACCCGCGTAACCACGCCTCAGGTCATTACTTGTCTTTCTAGCCACACCCGCGTAACCACGCCTCAGGTTGGCAGCCCTCAGATCAAGCCGGGCTCAGTCCCGCGTAACCACGCCTCAGGACATTTCTCTCATACACATGCACCACCACACAATCTGTCATCTAACACGTCGTACATTTCACAATCAAATTACCAAGCTCACACCAATGTCAATCTCACACACTCTAACAACCAATTTAATTCACACTCCCCACGTCGGTCCACCGACCCGACATTCATGTCGGCACATTCAAATAATCCAATTCACCCACAAGCGCCACGACAATTCAGTCAGGCATATTTATCTCAGTCAATCACTAAATCAGCCGCATAATTATCGCCACAATAATTCACCAATTAAGCATAATCAGTCTAATTAGCCCACGCCTAATTAAATTCCTAAGCCGGTACTAAATTTCACCCTAAACAAGTCTAAAAATACCCAAAGTACTAGGTAGGGTTTAGGAAGTCACTTACCTAAGTTTGGCCCGGGAAAAGTCGGCTCGGGCCTAAAATGGCCCGGGTGAACAGTGCCGAACTAGGCGCGGGCGCGGGCCAACGGGCACGGTGGCCGGCCAACGCGGCACAATGGCCGATCGGCGTGCCGCGCGCGGCGCGATGGCCGTGCGGCGTGCCAAGGGGCGCACGGGAGAACGGACGGGCGACACGCCCGGCCGGACGGGCACGGCGCCGAGGCGAGCTCGGCCACGCGCTCGGCCATGGGCACAGCCTTCGGCCACGGGCACAAGCACGGGCACGGGCGCTGGAACGGGCACGGCGACGGGCGCGCGGCTTGGTCGCGTGGGCGACGAGCCGGCTACGGCCCTGGGCCGGGCCGGGTCGGGCCGGCGGGCGGGCCGGGCGACGACCGGCGGCGACGGCGACGCGGCGGCGACGAGCTGAATAGGGGAGAAAGAGAGTGAGCCGGGGGGTGAGGGTGAGGGAGAGAGGATCGGGGTGAGGGGGAGAGATGGCGGACCGGCGGTGAGCTGGCCGGCGAGCCGGCGATGGAGGAGCCGGCCGGCGAGCAGAACGACGGGACGGCTGGGCGACGCGGCGGCGACTCGCAGCAGCGGCGGTGGACGGCACGAAACGGACGAGCTCAGATCGGCGAGTTCCCAGGTACGCGAACAAACGAGCGGTGAAGGCGATGGGCTGAGCTCCCGCGGCGGCGAGCTGGACGGCAGAGCGGAGCAAGGCGGCCGGCTTGGCAGCGATGGGCCGAGACAGGCAGTGGAGGCGAGCCGAGCTCGTGCGCTTGGGAAGGAAGGGAGGCGGCGTCGGGGCGGGGCTTCCGGGCGACAGCGGCGGCGCGGCGACGGCGCGAGGAAGACGGCGGCGGCGGCGCTCGGCGGTCGGGCGGGCTCGGGCGGCGGTCGGGTCAAGGAGCAGGGAGCGGGGCGAAGCGTAACCGGGCACGCCGGTGAAGAACAAGGAAAAGAAAGAAGAGGAAAAGAGAATAAGGAAGAGAGAAAGGAGGAGAGAGAAGAAGTGTGTTAGGGGGGGTTGGTCTGCATGGCATGGGCTGAGGGAACGCTGCATGGGGAAGACGTGCGCGCAGAGGAGGAAAGAGAGAGGGAAAGAAGGAGAGAGAGAGAGAGAGAGAGAGAACAGACGTGATGATGGAGGGGGGGGAACGTGCACGGAGGGGACGTGCTCAGCGCGGCAGAGGGAGGAGAGAGAGAGAGAGAGACTCAAAGTCAAACCTCTCACTCGAGTGCGATCCAACGGACACGGTTCAAATCCAAAAACGATCTAACGGTCCCCTATAATCCTAATTAATAATATAGGAAAATGGCCAAAATAAAATATGCCGAAACACACCACGAGGGAGGTCTACCAGTCCAAATCCGCACCCGGTCAAAAATCCACTTTTCACATACTCCAGGTAATACCGACGCTGGCCACAATAATATCGACACCGTCCAATTAAATTCGTCCCGGAACTCCGAGAAACTCGACACCAAAATTTGGGCTCTAAACAACGGCCAAATTCGATCGAGTGCGATTCTAGCGAAATCTCTAATTTTAAAAATAATAAAAACCCAGGAGTGATCAGTTCCGGGCGAGATTTTATTATAAGCGCACTGACGAATTATACGTTTTATAAATCCCAAAAATGGGCCAAAATCCGGAATGTCACAACTCTTCCCCCCTTACAAAAATTTCGTCCTCGAAATTTACAAACCAACCTAGCTATTCAAACAAATGGGGGTATTGGTGTCGCATCAACTCTTCGCTTTCCCACGTCGCACCTTCAGTTCCATGGTGCTCCCAAATCACCTTGACCATCGGAATTTTCTTGTTCCGCAGCACTCTTTCTATTCTGTCCTTGATCCGAACTGGCTTTTCCACATACGACACTCTGTCGTCCATGTCTATCTCTTCGTAGTTCAGCACGTGGGTCGGGTCCAGTTCATACTTTCTTAACATTGACACGTGGAATACGTTGTGCACTTGAGACAAATTTGGTGGTAGCGCGAGACGATAAGCCAAGGTACCAATTCTCTCTAAAATCTCGAATGGGCCCACGTACCTCGGGCTCAACTTCCCTTTCTTACCAAACCGAGATAATCCTCTCATAGGCGATACCTTGAGGAAAACGTGGTCCCCCACTTGAAATTCCAAAGGCCTACGTCTCCGGTCCGCATAATTCTTTTGGCGGCTCGAGCGGTCTTAAGCCTATCCCGAATTACCTTGATCAGTTTCGACGATTGCTGAACCAACTCGGGACCTGTGATGCTCCTCTCACCAACTTCATCCCAACAAACCGGTGTTCTGCAAGCCCTGCCATAAAGTGCCTCGAATGGTGCCATTCTGATACTTTGCTGGTAGCTATTGTTGTAGGCGAATTCCACCAAATGTAGCTGTTCCTCCCAACCACCCTTAAAATCCAAAACACATGCTCGCAGCATGTCTTCCAAGGTCTGAATTGTCCTTTCAGACTGGCCATCCGTCTGGGGATGATAGGCCGTGCTAAACTGTAACTTCGTTCCTAATGCCGCATGAAGGCTTTTCCAAAAGGCGGCAGTAAATTTAGGATCCCGGTCTGAAGTGATTGTCACTGGCACTCCGTGCAGACGAACTATTTGTCGCACGTAAATCTCGGCATACCTTTCCAAGGCGAAGTCCTTTCGTACAGGTAGAAAATGCGCTGACTTTGTCAATCGGTCGACTACCACCCAAATCGAATCATGACCCCTTTGACTTCTCGGTAATCCCATTACAAAGTCCATCGTGATGTGTTCCCATTTCCACTCGGGAATTTCCAATGGCTACAACATTCCACCCGGCTTACAATGTTGTGCCTTCACTTGCTGACATGTTAAACACTTGGCCACGTGCTTAGCTACGTCCACTTTCATGCCGTTCCACCAATAATCGGCGCAAGTTCCGATACATTTTCGTACTACCCGGGTGAATACCGTAATTGCTACGGTGTGCTTGAGACAAAATCTCTTCCTTCGCCCGTATCACCGGGTACACATAACCGTCCACGGAACTTTAGAATTCCATCCTCGGATACCTGAAAATCCGATTTCCTTTTTGTGGCATCCATACTCAAAATCTTCTGAGTCTCCGGGTCCGTCGATTGTAAAGCCTTAATCTTAGTCTGTATTTCTGGTTCAATCCTCAACGCTGCAAGTAGACTCGAGACATGACTCACTTCGAACTTAAATTCCGAATCTCGAACTCCCTCCAACAGAGTCCACTCCTTGACCATCATATGCGCGATGCTCGATTTCCGACTCAGTGCATCCGCTACCTTATTAGCTTTTCCAGGGTGATACATAATCTCGCAGTCGTAATCCTTAAGGAGTTCCATCCAACGGCGCTGTCTCATATTTAATTCCTTTTGGGAGAACAAGTACCTTAAACTTTGATGGTCCGTATAAATCTGAAACTTCTCCCCACACAGGTAGTGTCTCCAAATCTTAAGAGCGAAAATAATCGCGGCCAATTCCAAGTCATG